GCATTATCACAGATCAAAAGTACAGTCTGGCCAGGGAAAAGAGCTTGAAGGAGTGTGCAGAGCAGGCCAGGGAGGGGTCTAGGGAAGAGAGGGGTGTCCCAGAGTTTCCCTATAGGGCTGCACTCTGCCTGGGGGCTGGAGGCTCCCTGCACCTGATTTAAGAAGTGTAAATCACGCTTGACGTTACATTTGATTAACGTATAATTTCCTATTTAAAATGTCAAATGACATTTACGCAGCAAGGATGGTTGGGCTGGAATGCATCCACAAAATTAATTGCGCTTCTCGTGGCTTTGACATTCAGCTACTGAACTGTGTTTTTCAGGACTTGGACGAAAACGCCAGGAGAATCCTTTGCCAAGCAAATCTCCCCTTTGCTTGGATTTGTGCTGTATTCTTCAAACACTCTTGGAGAGCCAAAGTGGCACAGCGGCTAATGTGCTGTACTTGGGTAAAGCTGCAAATCCCTGCTCAGTTGTGGGTGATCTTGGGCTGCGAGCCCCACTTTGCAGGGTTGTTGTTGTGAAGCTAAAATGGGTGGGGAGGAAACAATGTGCCTTACTCTGAGCTTGCTGGAAAAAGAGTGGGACAAAAATATAATAAATACGTACACCCACTCTTCCCCTTCATCTGCTCTGTTAACTCTGTTTAAAGTTGATGGGGCCTAACAATATTACCCATATTATCAAGGGCTCATTTCCCTGTGTGCTCACTAATATCATAGGATCATAAATGTCAGAAGATGATGTCTAAGAACTGGAGGAGGGAGCCTTATAAGCCATCTAGTCTATTCCCTCGCTCGATGCAGGAGAGCCAAAGAGTTAAAGCACCCCCAGGGCACAGCCATCACCTGCCAAGAAAAGCTTTTCAAAGGCCAAATGGGGATCGTCCTTCTATCTGCCTATATACATAAACATGGAAGGCTGTTGTCATGTTGCAGTTCACGTGGCCACCAATAGGTGGCCACATCAACTCCAACATGACCACAGGATGTCAGGTGGCCTAGGCTGCAGCTGTATTCATTGGAGGGGGAAGCACCTCCTCCCTCATTTAAAAGTGGTTGTGGGGATAGGTGAGGTGTAAAGGTAAGGAAGGTTTGGCCAATGTGGGGGCTTGGTGGGTAGGCAGGATTGGTGAGCAGAGTGAGGAGCAATGGCAGCCCCTAGTGAAGCAATAAATAAGTAATGACTGCGCAAGTCAGCTGACTCATATTCAAGTCAGTGCTGTTTAAATTTAAAGACCAAATTTAAAACAAATTTAAAACAACAACACGAGGGACATGTCAACGGAAGAGCATTTTGTAGATTAGCAGTCGAAATCTAACGATTGGAAAGTCTAGTAGCTAATGACCACAGAGCTGCAAATTTCTAGATAGGCAGACTTAGACCATAGAAATGTAAATGGTGGAGAGAGGGCTCTGTGCAATGTCATTTCCCCTGCTTCCAGTGGCGGGAAGAAACGGGAGATATAAAGCCTTCTCATCCTCTCTCTCTCTCTTTCTCACAATATCTTTGATGCAGACGGATATCTATCTGTACTCTCCCTGAGCACAGACTCCATTTCTGTATTTAACTATGGCTGTTGAAACCAAGAAGTATTTTACCTGCCTTTGCTGTGTTCCCGTGCAAGACTGTCAAGTAAGTAAACAATATATTTTAAGTTTACTTTATAAATCGGTCCTCCCTTAAAGAGGGCATGCATTGCGGTGAGACCTGGAAACCGACACCCTGTGTTGTGGGTGAGTATGATTGGTCAGCCACAACACCCGATTGGTAGGTTCCTCGTAGCTGGGTGCAATCTGGCCAATGGGACGTAGTCCAAACGGTTTGAGGGACCTATTTATGCCCATGCACGTGACCCAGAGCTTCCTCTTTCGGTGCGTGCATTTGGAACACCCAACCACCTCTCCCTATTTTTAGGGCTTTGCACTTGACCTTGCTATGCTGTTGTGTGTCATCTGTCGTTGGGACAGGGGCACGACAGGAATTTTCCCCACTTGGCTGATTGGCTGTTGCCGTTTGGGTTTCGCCTGCCGCGTAGCAAATTGTCACAACTTGTAAGGTTGCGGATAGGCTCTGGTTCAGGTGACAGAGATGGGATAATGCTCTCGCCAACCTTATGTGAAGGGTATTCCGTTAAAGAAATCCAGAGACTCGATGGTTTGGTCAACCCCTGAGAGGGGGTTGTACCCGTGTCTGAGTTCAGGGGGACATTTGGGTGGCGGAGATAGCCTGTTCCCGGCTTTCCGCTTATTCAGGTGTTCACCCTTGGCTGACCTATTCTGGAACCCTGGGTCAGCGCTACCTGCATAGCAGGGAGTTAGTCGAACCAGAGCCTATGCAACCAATCACTTTCTGTAATCAATAAAGTTGTGGCCTAAAGGTAAAGGTAAAGGTACCCCTGCCCGTATGGGCCAGTCGTGTCCGACTCTAGGGTTGTGCGCCCATCTCACTTAAGAGGCCGGGGGCCAGCGCTGTCCGGAGACACTTCCGGGTCACGTGGCCAGCATGACGAAGCTGCTCTGGCGAGCCTGCACCAGCGCAGCACACGGAAACGCCTTTTACCTTCCCGCTAGAAAGCGGTCCCTATTTATCTACTTGCACTTAAGAGTGCTTTCGAACTGCTAGGTGGGCAGGAGCTGGGACCGAACGATGGGAGCTCACCCCGCCGCAGGGATTCGAACCGCCGACCATGCGATCGGCAAGCCCTAGGCGCTGAGGTTTTACCCACAGCGCCACCCGCGTTGCGGCCTAAATTCTGCCAAAAATCAAAACCAAAATTTGAGTCAAGTGCGAATTTATTTAGAGGGGAGGTTTCTGGTCTGAACATGCAAATTGTTGCCTGATTCTTTTATTAAGAGGGAAACAAAGGGGAAGCCAACTTATTTCGTTAGCTGGGATTGCCTCATAAAACGAAAGGCTTCTCAGCGTAGTTTCAGTCTTCTATATTCTGCTGCCAAGCACCAGGTTTTCATCTTCCACTCAACCCCCACTCCCATGAGAGATTGGAGGGATGAATTGCGACTAATATAGCCTCCCCTGCCCATTGATAAACCATCCCACACATTTTGCTTGCCTAGTTGGCTTTAGAGCTGCTGCAACTTCACACAGAACAGTTTTCAAAAGTGCAGCAGGGAGACTGCTGCCAAACTTGAAAGCTGGTCCTGGGGCTGAGTTGGTAGAATCTCCAATTGACACCTGAGGTGGGCTGGCCCAAATTAAGCCCTGGAATAACGTGAGGCCGCTCTTTTGCTTCCCTATCCCAATAGAACAGGACCTCTCCTCTTTCAAGAACTGTAAATGAGAGCTCTTTAAAAGAGAGAGGGAGAAAAATCCACTTATCTCCAGCGTTGTGCTATACACTACAGAATCAAGGCTCATTACTATAGCGCCAGAGGGGGAAGTCACATCATTAATCTCTCTGTAACCGTCACATTTGCTAGACTCTTCCCTCTGAAGCAGATAGGCCTCCAGGCTAAACACACAGAGGAACGGGGAGCCTCCAACAACTAGGGTGTCCTACTTTTCTAACAGAGACCAGGGCTCCCTTTCTTTCTCTTTCCTTGAGAGCAGCAGGGCAGGAGGAGAGTGGCAGCCAGCCAGCCAGCTTGCGATGATGAAAACACCTGATTCAATGGGCAGAACCAGGAAAGGACTTTTCTTGGAGAGCTGGCAGAAGCTGGCCACGTTTTTTGGCAGGTTAAGAGGAAGTGGAGAATGGATGTTTGTTTTCTGGCGAACTTCTAGGGCCACAAACACACCACCCTTTTAAAGCAGTATAATACCACTTTAGGGACGTGGGTGGCGCTGTGGGTTAAACCACAGAGCCTAGGGCTTGCCAATCAGAAGGTCGGCGGTTCGAATCCCCATGATGGGGTGAGCTCCCATTGCTCGGTCCCTCCTCCTGCCAACCTAGCATTTCGAAAACACATCAAAGTGCAAGTAGATAAATAGGTACCGCTCCAGCGGGAAGGTAAACAGCGTTTCCATGCGCTGCTCTGGTTCGCCAGAAATGGCTCAGTCATGCTGGCCACATGACCCGGAAGCTGTATGCCGGCTCCCTCGGCCAATAAAGCGAGATGAGTGCCGCAACCCCAGAGTCGGTCGCAACTCCAGCTAATGGTCAGTGGTCCCTTTACCTTTACCTTTAATACCACTCTGAACAGCCACACAAAGACAAAACAACCATCATTTCTTAAGGGAGCTGAGATCTCTTAGGAGACCCCATTCCCTTCACAGAGCTACAATTCCCAGAGGGGTTTAACAGCCAACACCTCTTCCCAGGGAACAGTGGGATGGGGAAACTGTGGCCCTCCAGATGTGGTTGGCTCCAGCTCCCATCAGCCCCAGTCAGCATGGCCAGTGGTCTGGGACAGAATCACAGAATTGTGTTGGCACAAAAATGGAAGCAAGAAGATTCACCAATGAAAGAAGAATGGCAGATGAAATTGACGGGCTATGCAGCATTGGATAAATTAACAGAAAGGATTTGAAACCCGCGGGACCAGAGATTCATAGAAGACTGGAGTAAATATATAAACTATTTGAAAAGTAACTGTAATGAACAGATTACCCTAGTAGCATTGCAAGACGTTTTGTAAGGATGACTATCTGAAATATTGCAAGAAGGACTATGAGGAGAACTATTAGTTAATGATAATTAAGAGTAATAGAGAAATTAAGAAATGCAGAATAAGTGATAAAGAATGGAAAATCACCAGAGGTGTTGATGGAAAGTCTTAAATATTGTCTAAGATAAGAAGTTATGTTATATGATTGTTGGAAATGATATGTTAAAAAAACTAATAAAAATGTATATGTATATATAAAAAGAATCACAGAATGGGACTCGAACTCACAAGCCTGAGATTAAGAGTCTCATGCTCTACTGGCGGGGCTAATCATGGGAGATGTATTCTGGCAGCACCTGAAATCCCACAGGTGCCCCCATCTTTGCACTATGCAAATTATTATTATTATTATTATTAGTCAGCACTGTACCTGTAGTTTCGACAATGCCTTCCAGGATAACGACAATCTCGAACTGCTCGCTCCGTAGCGATCTCTGCGAGAGGGCAAAAAAAGGGCTCTTTTCGTTGATTTCATGGCAGATGGTGAGAGGAGAAACGAGGAACAGTTGGTCGGCCCCAGTTCCGAATCCAACGTCGAGCTCGCATTGGTCTAGTGGCAGGAATTCACCTTCTGGCGTCTGTCGTGACTAGAGAGAGAGAGAGAGAGAGAAGTCCCACTGAGTCGAGAGCAAATTTTACAGCAGCAAAATGATAGGAACTTTCTCGGGGTGCCTGTATGGTGTACCTTTCGAGCTGCAGACACTCCACTGGAATTATAGCTGAGACAGAGGGAGAGGATTTTGAGTGGGGTGATCTGAACCTGGGTCTGGGTGAGATCTGGGTACAAGACTCTCTCAGGCAAATCAATGGTAATGTCTTGGCCCCACCCATTTCATGCATGCACCCACGCCTTCATGGCGGAAGAGCGAACTCCCCCATCAGCCAGAGGACGGGTCTGGGTTTCTCCCTCCAAAAGGGGTGAGGGGGAATCATACTGAGCTGTGTGCCAGTGGCGGGTGGGAACAGAGGCGCAGGTCAATTCTGTGTCCAGGGCAGCTGTCTACCAGCTCCATCTGGGACACAGACTGAGACCCTACCAGCGCACGGACTGTCTCCCCAGAGTGGTGCATGTTCTGGTTATCTCCCGCTTGGACTACTGCAACGCGCTCTGCGTGGGGCTACCTTTGAAGGTGACCCGGAAACTACAACTAATCCAGAATGTGACAGATAGACTGGTGACTGGGAGTGGCTGCCGAGACCACATAACACCGGTCCTGAGAGACCTACATTGGCTCCCAGTATGTTTCCGAGCACAATTCAAAGTGTTTGTGCTGACCTTGAAAGCCCTAAATGGCCTCGGCCCAGTATACCTGAAGGAGCATCTCCATGCCCATCGTTCAGCCCAGACACCAAGGTCCAGTGCCAAGGGCCTTCTGGCGGTTCCCTCACTGCGAGAAGTGAGGTAACAGGGAACCAGGCAGAGGGCCTTCTTGGTGGTGGCGCCCTCCCTGTGGAACACCCTCCTATCAGATGTCAAGGAAATAAACAACTATTTGACTTTTAGAAGACATTTGAAGGCAGCCCTGTATAGGAATTGTTTTTAATGTTTGGTGTTTTATTATTTTAATATTTTGTTGGGAGCCATCCAGAATTGTAGGGGCAACCCAGTCAGATAATGATGATGGTGATGATGATGATGATGAAAATGATGATGATAATTATTCTTATTCTTCTTCTTATTATTATTATTACATATTATTATTACGACTCCCATCAGCCTGGCTAGTGGGAGTCCTGGTCCAAAATAACTGCCAGGATGGGCAAGGCTGCCCTGTTCAGCACTTTTCACTCCTGGATTTAATAGAGTGATGCCATTATGCCTGCCTCTTCAGTGCCTTCTCCAGTGGTGAGCCTCGGAACTGCCATTTTAACATTCCACAACTGCCTGCAGTCACAATGCTACAAGGGGAGGCATTGTGGGAAATATATATGGTGGTCAGCGCTCATTCCTGGTCACCCAAGGCCGTTGCCTGCCAGCACAGGACCTGCCTGTTAGCTGAAGAACATCCATGCGATTTACAAACTTAATCCTGGGCACCACAATCTACCAAACCGCATTTCTAAAACCTCTGCTTGATTTCCTTCTCCCTTCCAATCCATTTTCCTTTTGTGTCATGTTAGATTGCAGGCCTGAGGGCAGGGCTGCCTTTGTCTCCCACCACACCATCACCTGTCAGCTTCTCTGTGACTGAAGAATGGGGTTATATAAAGTCGGGAAGGACACCCAGCTGTGCTGATTAAGTCAGGCATAGGCAAACTTGACCCTCCAGATGTTTTGGGACTACAACTCCCATAATCCCTTGCTAACAGGATGAGTGGTCAGGGATGATGGGGAATTGTAGTCTCAAACATCTGGAGGGCCGAGCTTGCCTATGCCTGGATTAAGTGTTGCAATGTTTGTTTTCCATCACTAGGAAAAGCTACAGTTCTGGGAATTGTTATTTCTGGATGGGCGATTTTGCTCTCTCCTTTGTTTTTGCACGTCATGGACACATTCATAGAGTGGTGGATTTACACTGGCCTCCAGCAGATAGCTCAGTCCGTAGAAGATGAGCCTCGTAATTTCAGGGTTGTGGGTTCGAGCCCACGTTGGGCCAAAAGATTCCTGCATTCTCGGTGTGTGTGTGTATGGACTAGATGTCCCTCGGCATCCCTTCCTATTCTATAATTCTATGTCCACACACCACTCTACTTCATCAGTTGCCCTGCAATGGTTCTCACACAACACCACATTATTGCCACGGGAAGGGATCTTCTTGAGCTGTAGGGCAACAAACAAAAGCAGGGCAAAAAAGAAAAGACCTAACCCTAACCCTTTGCAAAATAACACCAACCCTACAACATTTGCGGCATTAAAACGTTATGGGATTTTGGCATGAATTCTCAGGGCAGTTATGTCTGCTCTGAAACTTTCACAGGCGCAAACAGTATTGAAGGGGGCATCACTTATAACCATCGTGATATTATCACGAACAAGGCTGCCTGCAAGAACCTGATTGGACGCCTGCCCTGCCCCTTCCCCACTCCCAGCCACCCCCAGGGAAGGAATTACAACACACGTGTGTGCGTGGTTAGAAGCAATTTTCTGGACTGTGATGGCTACTGGGGGGGGGGGAGGCAGACATTGCGGTTGTCTGGTGCATTTCTGGTAATTAGCGGAGGGATGGGGAATTAGCAAGGTGTTGACAGCAGATATGGGCTGAATCATCTTAAAAGGGGAAGAGGGAAATCAAATGGAAATGAATGTGCAGAACGGCAGCTGTGATATACGAGATTCCTTGCAAGCGGTGCTGTTTTTCAGGGTGCTGGAACTTCACCCTGAACGCCTCCCTTGCTCTCTTATAATGGCGCCCACCTGAGAGGTGCCGGAACCGAGTTCTGGTGAGTTTGGGATGGAAACTGCGCCCCGCTCCCTGCTTGCAAGACATTTGATCAAATACAGTGGACACTCAGGTTGTGAACATGATCCATGCGGGAAGCACGTTCGCAACCCGCAGTGTCCGCAACCCGCAGCGCCGCGTCTGCGCATGTGTGGGTCATGATTCGGAGCTTCTGCGCATGCACAAAGCACAATTTAGTGCTTCTGCGCATGCGCAAGTGCCCAAACCCAGAAATAACCCGTTCTGGTACTTCCAGGTTCGGCGCGGTGCACAACCCGAAATCGTGCAACCCAAAGCGTCTGTAACCTGAGGTATGACTGTAAACAGAAAAGCATCTTGTGGACCTTAAAGGGTCTGTTCTGGACGCACCCAAACACTGCAGTCTGCTCCCCAAACGCCTCTCCATTCTCCTTCCCTTTGCCACAGAAGCACCAGCATGCCTTGCCGACCTGAATTAGCCAGACATGTGTCCCCTGATTTGCTCACTGTCATCTTTATGAACCAACATGTCAATCCTCGCTACTGCTCAAAACCGCAGTGCAATTCGCCTGCTAACCCAATGTAATGTTCTGTGCCCGAATGGCCAAGGCTCCTTTAATATTATCATTCCTGACCCACATTGCGCATGCACACCCCGCCCCGCCGAGGGAACCAGTTTCCCAGTGGATGATGAGAGCAGGCAAGAACGGAGGTCAAAGGGCTTTTCGAAAGGCTCCCAGAAAGCATGGTTCATTTGAGACTGATGATAGACAGGAGCAGAGACGTTCAAGCTGCAGAAGGCCTACTGGCCGTGATGGCAATGCTCTCTGGCAGCAGTGCTTCTGAAACTGCAGGAGGGAGAAAGGCTTCTTGCTTGTGGGTTTCCTACAGCCATCTGGCGGGTCACTGTGAGAACAGGCTGCTGGCCTAGATGAGGCATTGGCCTGACCCCCCGAAATGAGAACTGGAAATGGAGGAAAGGAAATTATTAAAAGTCGTTTTGTGAGAATGGCTGCATAGGATCGGGTCTAAATAATGCAACATCGAAAAAAGAAAGAGAGAGAGAGAGAGAAATAGAAAGGAAGGAAGGAAGGAAGGAAGGAAGGAAGGAGACCCCCTTTCTGAGCAATGTGAATAATCAGAGGATTTTTACGTAGGCTGAGACCCTACCTGCCCATGGACTGTCTTGCCAGAGTGGTGCATGCTCTGGTTATCTCTCGCTTGACTACTGCAATGCAATCTACGTGGGGCTACATTTGAAGGTGACCCGGAAACTACAACTAATCCAGAATGCAGCAGCTAGACTGATGACGGAGCAGCCACCGAGACCACATAACACCGGTCCTGAAAGACTTACATTGGCTTCCAGTATGTTTCCGAGCACAATTCCAAGTGTTGGTGCTGACCTTTAAAGCCCTAAACGGCCTCGGTCCAGTATATCTGAAGGAGCGTCTCCACCCCCATCGTTGTACCTGGACATGGAGGTCCAGCTCCGAGGCCCTTCTGGCGGTTCCCTCATTGCAAGAAGCCAAGTTACAGGGAACCAGGCACAGGCCTTCTCGGTAGTGGCACCTGCCCTGTGGAATGCCCTCCCACCAGATGTGGAAGAGAACGACAACTACCAGACTTTTAGAAGACATCTGAAGGCAGCCCTGTTTAGGGAAGCTTTTAATGTTTGATACATTACTGTATTTTAAAATTTTGTTGGAAGCCGCCCAGAGTGGCTGGGGAAGCCCAGCCAGATGGGCGGGGTATAAATAATAAATTGTTATATTTTTTATAACGCTTTTTAGCGCTGGAATGAGGAAGCTCAGGGCAGGGCAGAAATGACAGCCCTCCAGAGCTCAGTCTGGCCCTTGAGACTCTCTCCAGAAAACATCCCTCTCACCAGCCTGGCTAGATTAGGGCGTGTTGAATTTTTCCAGCTTTCAAATTCCCCAAATGTGGGGTGTTAAGAAGCTGTAACACAACTTGGGAATATTTTGGTGAAACAAGTCCCGTGGAGGAGAAGCAGAGGGCAGCCTAGACATGGATAAAGCAATGCTAGGATAGCTCAGGATATGCTTTGAGGCTCACAGTGGGTGAGTAAGCCTAATATTTCCTTCCCCATGTTAACAAAATTCAGCTGCAGGGATACCTGCATCTGTTCGCCTGTAGGAGGAAAATCAGGTTAGTGGAGGCCACTTTCAGCATGGTGCGGCTGGGGAACCTGAGGGGTAAAAGGGCCC